CGGTACTTTTGACTTTAAGACTACTAGAACATTAACAGACTGTATATCAAATTCATAAAAAGTCCATATTTTGTCTGTGTTGAATTTCCACAGGAGGCAGAAAATTTTTTAAATGGACTAATTATTATTCAACACAAGAACAACTTCTCTATCTGATATAAATGATACTTTAAACTGCCAACTTAAAGTTCAAAATACTAGGTTTAGAAGGTAACAAGTCAACATGCTAAGCTAATAGTAAATTCTAAAACAGATGATGTTACCCGCTAGGAGCAAGCTAAAATTGAATACAAAGTGATAAAATATAGAAGAAATCTGTGTTTAATTAAAATATATTAGAAATACAGAATTAGCCTCATTTACTTCCACATCTAAGACATAAAATTCTGAAAAAGATTAATCAGTGCTGAGCCAAAATGTATTTTGCAAAAAGAAAAAAATCCTCTTTTATCACTTAAATGTATTTTTAAAAACTTTTCAAATTCTGAAGTTTTCTAAAACAGTGGCATATTCTTTAAATAGATGGCCAATTCCTTAATTTCTGGAACAGATAACAAACCACTGCATTTTACTGATGTAGTACTTCCTAAGTATAAGGGACCAAATGGCTACTAACATGATAAATATGTCAGAGCCAGTTAACCCTAAATCTATCTTAGAAGATGAGGGTCAAGATAAAAAGCCATCAGATATCCTGGTAAAAGAATCCAAACTGCCTTGGAGAGATGGGGACCTCAGATTACAAGATTACTAGGAAAGAGCAAAATTAAACACGGAAAATTATATGCATATACGAACATTTTTAGAATATTCCCGAAACAGGTATTACCCAGTTTCGATTTCACATATATCTTACAATTACAGTGAATAACAGTCTATGATTTCAAAGCTGAGTTTCTCTAATTTAAATCCATTCTTAATTACTTTAAAAGCCTATTTTTAAGTTACCCTATAAAGAAGAAAAAGGAGGGCAAAGTCCATTTTAGTCCTCCTAAAAATAATTACACATCTTGATAACAAATGATAAAGGTCCTCCGAATTTATTACAATAGAAGTTATTAAAATTAACATAACTATTAAAATTTACACACTAAACTGCAACTTCTAGAGAGTCAGTAACTGCAGATGGCCAAAAACCTACCCAACAGTGAACTTAAATTAAGAAATAAAAAGAAAGGTCTAAAATCCTCCCTCCTTTCCTAATTTAATATCCCTTGAGTAGGTGGTTTGGTAGTTTGTTTTATTCAGATGTGAGTACTTGAGATTAGAGAAAAAAATAAAAGGATTTACCTGGTAGAAAAAAGAAGTATATGGGATTTAGGTACAAAGAAAAAAAACCCAAGTCTAGTAATAAGAGAGTAGGGAACTATTAATAGATAACTGTAGCCAGATCAGAGAACTATCGTATATATTTAAAGTAATAATTAGAAAATAAGACCTAATCTAGTATACTTTTTCATGATAAAACTCTTTTAAATAACTGCAAAAAAAAAAAAAAAAAAGATGCATTCTTAAAATTTCTTTAACATTACTGGTTTAAGAGTTTTACAAAAGCTATAAAACTATAAAAACTATTAGAAAAATAGCACGAACATACACATTTAACATGTTCAGAATAATAATTTTCTGAAAGATAAAACTGGTAACAAAAACTAATACCACATTAAAATTAAATATCTGTTAGAAAATAAACTATTTCTTTTAGGTTTAGGAGACAAATGTTTTAACTAGGAAGAAGACTCAAGGACATGAGTTATACAAATTATTTGTCTGACTTGAACAACACTGAGAAGTATGAAATAAACAGTGAGAAAAAAATCAAAGTAAATAGTAAGAAAAATCAAAGTTTTACCATCCTACCCTATGATTTAAACAATCCCTTCCTAACTACTTAGATATGTCTCTATAATAATAAATTTTTGGGTTTTTTTTTTTTTTTTTTTACAAAATATACAGATAAGCAATAATTTTTACTCTCAAATTTAAATCCTAATTTGTATTAATATCTTAAACAGCTCTAAATGTACGTCTAAAAAAAACCTGACATTTATTCAGGTCAAATAATAGACATTCACTTTGTGAGAATTTATCAATAAATATAGTTTTGAGTTCTCATACACTTAAAATTTACCCTGGAGTTTTGTACCAAAAAAAAAAATCCTTCTTATATAGTGAGTTCTCCAAAATGACACCATCCTGTGACATTTGGATATGACCCTTACCTGTGAACACAAATATACTGAATCAAGAGTCCTGACCTTTAGCTTAAAAAGTGTTGTTGTAATTATCACTATACCTTAAATGATATGATAATGTTTCAATTCAGATATGCCACCCAACCCAACTGATCATTTCCTATCTACAAATGACCAATAAAGGCCTTTACAAATAATTTTCAGATGAAATTTTTAACTCAGGTTTAATACAATTTCGTGCTTTTCTACTACCATATTATTCCATGGAAACTGTTATTTTTAAAGTAAAATTCAGTTTTTAATACTCCGGTTTACTACACTAAAAACAGAATATAAGACTACAATAAGATAACCATAAATTGAGAAACTAATTTAATAAACAGTGCAACAAGATAAAAGTGCAGCTATCAAAATTAGGTAGAAAGACAGGAAGAGGTTTATTACATTGAATTGAAACAGGACACAAGGTATTATATAATATGTCATTGCAAATACATAAAAAGAGATCTATAAAAAGTTGTCTTACAATGATGAAATGAATGACTGAGAAACTACTAATACTCATGAATATTGGTCAGGGTTTTCTAAATCACACAGCAAACTCATAAAACCATAAAATACATTCTTTGGTACAGCTCCTTATAGAGAATTCAGCTTCCTTTCTCTGCTTTATTTAATGGCTTTATAGATTGACAGTATTAATCTTTCTACTCTGAGTGAAACACGACCTGCTGACTTCTTAACAGCTTTATTTAGATATAATTGGCATATAATAAACTGCACATATTTAAAATGTACATTTTGATAGCTCTTGACATAAGTGTACAACCGTGAAACCATTAACCAAATCAAGATAATGAATATATCCATCTGCTAAGTCTCCACAGGCCTCTTTTAAATACTTCCTCCTCTCCACCCTTCTCTGCTCCCTCCC